GCAGACCAAGACACCTCGTATTCCTGTTTAAATAGTTCGCTAAAGACTGATTTAATCTTAAATTTCTGCACGAAAAGAGCAGAAGTATTTCTAGGCATGTAAAGGGTTGTAGGACTAATGTGAGTAGAAATCGAGTTGATTTTTTTTTGTGGCTTTTCTGTAAGAAGTGTGAATTTTCTTGAGCTTTCAGAAATTAAGAAGAGGGGACTGGGACAAAGTAAAAAGATAGGTGAACTGTGGAGAAAAATGAAGCAGGTCAGCAGAGTAGGAGAGAAATCTGAGAGGCTCCTTTTGTCTCCATCTTATCTTTCTGTCCTCCAAAAAAAACTTCAGAAACCCACTGGCAGCTCAAACCAGTGCAGAGGACCCAGGAACACACGTGGCAGTGCCAAAATCTCATCTCGGCTTGGCATGCTGCTGCTAGTCTTGGCCAAATGTTCACACTTGCCAGCAGACAAAGAAAGGAAGCTGTGAGACAGAACTGTACCCCGAAAGGGATATGGTAGGACAGGCTCCTCGCTTCCCAAGCCCTGTTCAGCTCAGGTGTCTTAGTCTGGGGAAGAAGTGCAAATGATTCTCTTTCCTCTGGAGTACAAGATGTTAGGAGAGATACGGTGCATCCTACTGCACCTAGTAAGACAGTCCTCCTGGTAGCAATTGTTTTACCCTGATAATGTCTACCTGGTTTGTGAAATTTCTTCTGCTGTGTTAATTTAGGGGAGAGTCAAAGGACAAGTCCTCTGCCTACACAGTAAAACGTAGAGGCCGTGACCTGGTTTCTGAGAGGGTTGTTCCTTTTTTTCAGTTGTGTCTTTGCTACCGTGTGTCTCAGTGGTGGTATCCTGAAATGACAGCAGATTGAGAGCGCAATATCCAGGGCTGTTTCTAGTGTGTTTATTTTAAAAGACCATATTGTTTTTAAGAAATGCTTTTGTCTTTCCTCCTGCCACTTTGAATGTGTCATAAAAGTTCAGATTTGTCTTAATAAAATCCCATTGTGCGTGTACCCTGATTCGGGCTTTGGGGATGATTGTGTCAAACGTTTTCCTTGACACACAATTGGCACTTGGACTCGATGACTTGGAACTTGAATTACGTACTTGTGCAGCTCTTTTGTTTTAGCTTCTTTTAGTTTCTGTCTTTTCTCTCTCCTTTCACTGAGGAAGTGTCTCTGTGACACTGACGCTTGTAATGCTGACGCATATTTCTGTTAGTGAATGCTCCTATAAATTAACTTTTGCATCGTGATGTTGGTAAAATATTCATTAGGCTGGTTGTCTGTGGGAAGAATATGACTGTAGACACGAGGCAAGACTCGTAGAGGAATGTAAAGTCCTGACTTAGTCGTAGGGGGGCAGATTTTTGTGCAAGCAGGATAAAGAAGGACTTCTGCCCATAAGTTTGGTGTGTTGTGTTGGTTGGGTTTTTTTCTTGGTTATACTTGCTGTTATTTCTCCTCACACATCTTGTCTGTCTGCAGGCACAAAAAAAAAAAAAATTCCCAAGTATCTGGAAAAACCTGGAGCATGTTTTTCGTATGATGTTTATAATTACACTGGAATGCCCTTCAGTAACAGATATGCTTGCTACTCTACAGGTCTGAGGAAGGATCTGCAGCTTGTGCTCAAGCTGGTGGGGGAAGAAAAAAGTTCTTTTAGGTGTTACTTCATCGGGTCTGCCTGGAAAATTAGGGACAGTTGTGGAATGAGGTGGTTTAATCTTAACACAATGAAACTGAGAGATTATGGAAAGATGAACTCCTACTTTATAAATATTGTTATTTTGCAGATTGCTTTTCCTTTTTGGAGCTGTAATAGGGAGTCACCAGACAAACCTGAACGTTCCATGAAGAAGGATTCTGCCTTTGGGTTTATCAGGCATGTTGTACTTTACAAACATTTGTTACATGAGTCTGTGTACTTGAAAATTGGTGTTGGTTTTAAAATCAGTCTATCTTAACTAGTGTGAAAAAGGTAACTTGGTAGGTCTGACGTAAGCCAATGAGCAGATACCTGTTCAGAAAAGTGTAATATAAGTATTTAAGTGATGATAATCCCTTGCTGGGAAGGTGTGGCAGTTAAATTGACCTTGGGAATAGTTGCTGCAGTTAAGATTTCTGTGAAATCATAAAATAATTTAGATTAAAAGGGACCTCTGGAGATCACCTTGTCCAATCCTCTCCTCAAAGCAAGGCCAACGTTTTAGTCAAGTCGGGTTACTCATGGTCTTGTGCTATTCAGTTTTGAATTCAGAAGTGTGCTATTCAGAATGGAAATTCTACAAACCGGATAACCTTTCTTTGGTGCTTAACTGCTATTGCTGTGCAGAACTTTTTCTGTGTGGGTTACGGTGTGAAAATTGCACATCCGAAAATCTGTTCTGGGGCCAAAACTGTAAAACACCACAGAGGTTTTAAGTGTGAATTCGCTTAATGAACACCTAAAGGAAATGAAATGTCATCTTGATATTTCTCTAACGGTAGCATTGATCATTCGCTTCATATTCTGCCTGCAAGGTAGTAACTGGTCAAAGCAATTGGACCGTGGCTCTTCAGTGGCCTCCTGAGTGTCAGCGAGGCGTGCCCAGCCCAGGTAAAAACGCCTTGCCCGGCTAGCCAGGAAACCCTGCAGAAGGATGGTCTTCGTTTGCAGTTCCATTGCACAAAGCTGTTGCTTTTGTGGAGTTAGAGAAGCTATATTATAGTATTGGGTTAGACTTCCTTAAAAGTAATGAAATCCATTGCTGCCATCCTTTTTCCTTCCTGTTTCTGCGACTGGGACTACCTCTGCTGCCTCCATTGTTGTGCCTTGTCAGTTTGCTTGTGTGCACCAAGAAATGTTCGCAGGTTTTTTTGGTTTGCTCTTTGGTCAGCAGCACGCTTGACTGAGTAACTTTGAGTCCCGTGTCTGTGGCTTACTCTTGATATCCTCCCCCCTCCCCCCCAATTTCTGGAAACATCTGTATTTTTTCCCTAAGCCTTCTAGTGAAGGAAGCAAACTACTCGGGAATAGCTTCATGCAAAGTTTTGAGGTTTGGGTTTGGTTTTTTCCCCTTGCAATCTTTAGGTCCCAAAGCGAATTGTTTCTGCCTTTTTTTTTTTTTTTCTTGAGGAGGTGCTGTTTCTTCTTTCCTTGATGCTTCAGGGTTTGAAGTCTAGAATAATGCCAAAACTTTGTATGGATCGCTGTGAGCTTTCTTCTCTTTACTTGTTCTGAAAACAAAAGAAGACTCTGCTGAATAATAAATTAATTGAATGTGCAGATTTTTAGATTTTTCAGGTTTCCTCTCTTATGCGAGGAAACTGACCCAAACTGAGTATCTTCAGGCTAGGGATTTTTTTTTTTTTATAGAACTGTAAGCACTGTGTCCCAGAAAATGAAATAAAAATATTTGGCATCCTGTAATTGCACATGTGTACTTCTTTGCTGTTGTTGTGGTATATCCTGTAGGAAAGAAGAGTATAAAGATGTACACTTTTATGGACATCTAGCCAAATGTTTCATAACATCAGAGCATGATTTCTGGCTGGTGGTCTAGATTATAGAGGAAGCAGTGAGCCTTTTGAGCCAAGCTAAAAGGAAATCACCCTTTCCTTTTTGGGTTGTTGTGTTTTTTTTGTTTTTTTTTTTTAAAGCTATGACTGTTGAAATGAACAGGACGTATGAAGAAATGGGGTAGGACAGTGAAACCTGGGGGCACAGTGTGTATTACTTGTTTAGTGTTTTCTGAGAGCAGGGGAGTTCCTTTAGGATTAGTCATGAGCTGATCTGTAATTTCTCAAGGGGAAAACCCACAACCTGTGTCTGTTCTTAAAGGCAGTCATAGCTATTAGTTACTGTAGTACTAACAATGTACTCCCAAGAAAGATTGCTGTTGGAGCACTTACAGTTGTGATTCTCATGAATTTGAGTCTCTCCTCTTAAACACAAGAAGAAATGGTAACAAATGTAGTGGTTGGAAAAAACCAGCATTTTCTGCTTGATGGTACTTGAGTCTTCTAAATGAAATACATATGTGTAATTTGTTGTCTCTGAAACAATCTGTTTCAAAGCAAACTAGATTTAATGATGCAAACACTAGGTCCTTTTAAAAATTGGTTTTGAGAAGCAGGTTCTTTGCGCACACATGCATGCTCTCTCTCAAAATAATTGATTAAAAAAATAATAAAAATTGCTCCTTGAAGCCCCCCTCTCTTGCCCAACAAGAGGAGAGAAAATTCATATGTTGAGGTCACACATGCGTTTTCTTTAGAATCCTGAGCCCATTTTGACACAAAGGTACAACAAAACCTAATAATTTTTGAACATGTCTCTCTTCATTGTAGCTGCAAAACCAGGCTTGTTTTCAGAGTGTCTGTGCTATAAAATTCACAAAGTGTTAGATCAGCTTTTGGAATAGGCGGTGCATACAGGACTGAGTGTGATACTACAATCTTGGGTCTTTCAGACTCAGCGACTTCTTACATCTTCCTTGCTCTCCTGAAGGAAACAAGCCACTTTTTTTTTTCTTTTGGAAAAAAAAAAAACCCCAAACAAAAAAAATCAACCAAACAAAACCCCACACTGTGTGTCTTTTAGGAACTGTGTCACTTGAACTTCCCGTTTTTCTGAGCTATGCAATACCAAGGCAACATTCTGGAAATAAGGCTTTTTGTTTATAGGGCTACAAGGGCTACATGAGCATTTAGGTTCGCAGAGGACTCCTATCAGTGTCTATTATTTTATTTGCAAGTAATGATATCACCCTGGGGGAACACGTTCTGGTCCTTACAAGCCAAGGACATTAAGATTTAATTTTTCATTTTAGATGTGTGTACTGTATGTGCTGTCTGCAATTACAAGTTGGACTAATAAAAGATATTACTTCACCTGTGAAGTTCATTTTAAGCAAAGCGAGTGGAGAACTTCAGAAGCTTTTTGGATAAGTTTTGCAGTCGGTGACAAGTCGGGGTCCTTGTGATTTAGGCAGAGGAGGGAAATAGATACCTTGTTTTAATCTAGCTCTTTCTTTGGAACTCTTTCAGGTTTATTGCCAAGCCATGTGCCATAAACCTTGGCATTCAAGACAGTGGACCTCACAGAGCCCAGCCCAATGCAATTTTAGAGAAAGTGTTTACATCCATCACTAAGGTGAGTCATGCTTCAAATTCTGCTAGAAATGGAGGCCTGTAAGTAAGGGGGGGGGTGTTTGCTTCCACTTCTTTAGTTTGAGAGAAATGCATTTCACGCTGTACGTGCACAATGAGGATGTTTTTATTTTACTTTGCCTCGGGCACATCCTTCTTGTAGCAAAGTAAATTCTCTTTATGGCTGACTTATGCTTTTGTGCACAGAAGAATCCTTTTTTGAATAAAAATTGTTCTTTTTTTTTAGAAAGGTACGAGGCTTCTTCCTTTAATTCCCTGCCTTTTCCAAACTGTAACTCCTGTAACAGGTGGCAATTCTTGTTTAACAAGAAATTTCCCAGTATCTCACTTCCTATTGGAAAAGTGCTACTCTCTTCCTCAAGTTCTGTTCCTTTGCTGGTTTTATTGGCCATTTCTGTGAATGCCTTCCTCTTTATTTTTGCTATCTACAGTGGAATTGGACAACAGCTGTCACAGTGGAACTCAGTTATTTAAGGAAAGCGTTCAGTCAATGGAAGTGTGCCCTGATAAAGGGGAGGACATTTAATGTTGAGAGTAGATGTTTCTTTTGATTGTTTCGTGGCCTTTCTCTTACTTAAGCTGACACTGCTCCTTCACTTCAGGATCACGGAATTCCACACTGTCTGTACTCTATTGAATGTTGACAATGAAATCCACGTAGGTAGCAAGCTAGATTTTCATTAAAGATAATGAAATGGAAGGTTTTATGTTCTGATTTGGTGATGCTGAACTTTATTCTGAGTGAAGCAGATAAAGTGCTCGGTGAACGGAAGGGAAATTCTATAAAAACCTTACTAAAACTCGCCTTATGGGAACATTAAAGTTTTGAGGTATTTTGAATGACGTGTGAACTGAAAAGTCCCTATGATTTGATGCCGTTTGTGGGGAGGACTTTTTTGTAGGGGATGTCCTTGAAATTAATGTTTAGGAAACTCATGAAGACGAATGCTGTGCAAAATTTAACTAGCTTATGAAAGCAGAGCTACCAGTATGCTTATGTCTGCTGTTGGATTTGGAGAATCGGAATGTAGAGTGGCACTGATGCAGGGGAAAGATTTCATTGCTGTTCTGAAATCAGACTCTGTAAATTCTCCTTTGAGGCAGATTCACTTCCAATGCAAAGTGTCAGGTAGCCCAAACCATTAAAGCCTGGTAAAGTGGAGAGAGATCCGGTTGTGATGGAATTACAGGGAAGTCATGGTCTCAATACTGAAAATCAAACGACAGATGATTTTGCTTTTCAGTTGAACAGTCTGGTGACTATTGAATCAGCATTCTGCGTAGTTTTTTTGGTTTGTATGTAACTCAAGTAGTAAAATGTGTTTATCATCTTTCAGTTGTAAGAGCTCCCTGGCAGAGCTTGTTAAAAGGACACTGGTCTGAAACTAACGTGGCTTATCTCACCACTGGGCCATTTTAGAGGTAGTTATCAGGTTTTGTTCACTTTGTCTGCTCTTATAAATCCATTTATGTCATTATTCAAACAAATAAAATGCCAGTAGAATTCCCAGAGAACAGCGATATATTCTTTGTCATATAATTATTTCAGCTTTCAAATTTAATTTTATTGATAAACTTTGGTAAGGGAAATAACACCACCTCTACGATGCCCTTTTGGAATACAAATATGTAGTGTGTTAAACCAACTCTTACTTTAAAGTTTCCCTAAACATGCAGTAAGTAGCAACCCTTAAATGTATTCAGCTTTGATCTTCCTGAGTTCTGGACTGTTTCAATTGATGTGCAAGTTTTAACAGGTAGGACAGGACATTTTGAAAGCTCCTCCCCCCAAATTAAGAAGCAGAACAATTGCATTCTTTGTCATAATGTGCTGTCAAATGATGAAATAAATGAGGAAATGTTTAAGCAAAAGCATTCTGAATCATTAAGTAATTAGTGGGTTATGAAGGTTAAACTCAAATGAATATTTGTGGCAATGGGTTCCTGCTTCGAGTCTATACGTAGTGCCTTCCTAGTGTGTGTGTTTTGTTATCTCTGCATCATTTCTGTCATAGTACAGAGGGAATCTTGGTCTGAAAAGTAGGTTGAAAGTAGGAGAAATGACACTTGTTTCGTTTTCCTTCAGTCTCCAGATGGAAAAAGGTTAGAAGGCTTGTCAAAGCAGCTAGACTGGGATGTTCGAAAGATCCAGCGCTGGTTTCGTCATCGGAGGAACCAGGACAAACCCACCACCCTCACTAAATTTTGTGAGAGCATGTATGTTTGTGCAGAGGCCAAGATGTGGCTTCACCCTAAAGCTCCAGCTGTATGTTCTCTTTTCTGACTGAAACTGTGGTCAGCTGCTAATTTAAACTAGAGTCTTGGGGTTGGCTGGTAGAAGATAAATCCTTATATAAGCAAATGAAAGAACTTAAGAGGGCTTTTTAGAATTGAGCATTCTAAAATATTTCGTATATGTGCATGAGAGACCAGAACACATGTACAGGAGTTATTCCGATCAACGATTAGCAGCTTTAGATAGCGGACCAGATCCGTAATCCAAACATAGCACTTCAGTGTGTGTGTGTGCATGTATGCATGTGCACAACTTGAGTAATTGTACTAAAGACGAGTCTGCTGTCTGCACAGTTGTGGACCAGCGTTTGTTCCCAGAGTGACCTTATGGCTTACACAATGATGTATATACTTTTATACAGATGCTTCTTGGATTCCTGTTCTTTTCATTTCAGTTCATTCTTTTGTTCTTTGTTTCTTTCTGAATGCTTGTAGTAACCTCTGTTAGTGTAGTAGCATCTGAATATTTTTTCCCTGACTTGTTATTTCTTCTGTGCTGGTTTCTTTCCTTTCCAGTAACTTTCTTCATATTAATTCTTCCCCCAGTATGGTTTTGTCTACTTAAAGCCACAAGGTAAGAGGGACAAATACATATATTAGGATACCTTCTGGATAACAATGACTTTTCTTGCCGTTATCTTGTTTCTGTATAGTAAAGCATATGAATGATGCATGCTTACTCTGAACTTTATTTCAAACTTCACTGTTGATGCAAACTAGCGTATGGTGTGAAAACTCTTAAATAGATTTATCCTTACATGAAATGTTTGCAAATGAAGGATTACTATTTGGTGGGTGAAAGGTTTTCAGGTGTCAGAACTGGTTTTTTTCACAGTTGTTCCAGTTTTTGTTACAAATGTTAACCAGGAGCTATTTCTATTTCATAAGTTTAATTTTTGCTTTTTTTTCCAGGTGGAGATTTACATTTTATTTAAGTATATTTTTTTATGGAATCAGGTTTCTCTGGACGGTGAGTTGCTCTGTCATCCCCTGTGCCCCTCCCTTTTTGTTCCGTGTGGCATGCAGCTGGGCTGTGGCT